CGGTCCCCCCGCCCCTCCGCGCGGGCGCCTGTCCCGTTCGATGAACAGCTTCCCCCCGCCTCCTCTTCCTCCTCCGCCGCCGCCGTCGCCGTCACCGCCTCCACCACCGCCTCCGCCACTGCCTCTTGTCTCTGTCTCCACCAGCGTCGCCGAGCTCGAAGCTCCTCTTCGTCGCCGCCGCCGCCTTCGCCGCCGCTGCCGGTTTCCCACACAAATGCCTCCCTCTGTCCGGCAGGGCGAAATTTAACGTCCGCGCATCGACGAGCCGCGATGATGCTGCGCGGTTGGCGCGGTACCGTTCCGGCGGTTCGAGAATCGCCGAACGCAACGTTTCACGAGATCGACAATTCTCACCAGAGGAAGATCGCGGAAAGATCGCGTAGCCGTGATGTTTCTGTTCCGCGCCGCGCGGCCAGAACGCGCGGAATCGATCACGGAGACGTCTAGCTGCCGATTACCGGTCACCGTTACTGATCGTGAACACTTTAGTAAACACCGCGCGTTCGGGTCTCTGATCTAGAACGAGCCATGAATATCGTAGACGACAACGACGGATGATTGGACGGACCCCAAGCGGCCGTTTGAAGAAACTTTGAAAAAGTCGCACGGACCTCTGGCGCCATCTGTCGTCAATCGTGGCAATCATCATGAAATTAGCAGGTTTGCCAACAAAATAATTCTCTTCTCTTTCTTTTCGAAATTCGACAGCGTTGACCGTTGACGTCTATTTTGAATTAGGACATACAAAGCTACGTTTTATTTTATATCGTTCTTTTTTCCTATAACAACTTTTTTTAGAATGATCTAAAAGCCATAAAAGATTCTTATGGACTTTTGTAACTTTGATAATGTCATTAACGGAAGCGATTAATTATTGCAAACGGCTGATAGTGTACTCTTTTATTTTCGTAAATTTTTAAATATCGTGTAAAAATCACTATCTAAGAAATGCATGTCTCTTATAGATACGTATTAATAGTAATAAATTTAGAATGTTTAGATAATGCAGATTACATAATACCGAAAAAGATAGCATTTGTATGGCACAGTAAGAGGCTCCGCACAATAAACAGGAAACAGAGAATAAAAATTTCAATCTATCAGAAATATCATGTATCGTGGAATACACAGTTTTGATAGGTTAAAATTCTAAGAGGCTCCACATAATAAAAGGAACAGAGAACAGAGAACAGAATAAGAATTTCAACCTATCAGAAACTGTGTATTCCACAATACATGATTTCTGATAGGTTGAAATTCTTATTCCCTGTACCTTCCCAGCAAACGAGAATGGATTGAAATGGATTCAGATTTTCAGAAATATTGATTCACGAATGTTAAAATGAATGCTTTTCAATCTTGAATGCATTTTCATTCATTTATAGAAATTGCATGGAGCATATCTTTATGCCTTTCAATCTAAAAATAATATTAACTTTTTCTGTGCATAAAAACACAATTGTGAATATTATTCAATTCAAAATTTTGAAGTTTAATTAGGAAATGCGGTTTTTCAATCCAATTGCATCCAATTGAATCTAATTGAATTCAATTGAATCCAATTAAATCTAAAAAAAAAAGTATTCGCTCTATATTTTTAAAATAAGTATTCGGATAGAAAAAAATTTCAATCTATTTTAATTCGTTCTCGTTTGCTGGGTTGTCTCACTCGCACTTGTTCGCCGGCCCAAAGAGATTCGAGTTTTTTTAATCGATTTATTTGAATTGTATAGGTGTAGGGTATAAGTGAGTTGTACAGGTATAACTGTGTATTTCTTGTTCTTTTTATTGTGCCCTTAATCTACATTGCAAAGTCGTCAAGTTCCACGAAACATTCCACCGTACGCGCATGTTATACTTACGTGATACACCATTGATTTGTTCGCCTTGCTTACACTTTTTATACTCAGCATCTTCGCTTTCTCTCTTTTCAGCCAAGTATACATACATCTATCTCATTTTAAATGTAAAAAGTGTAAAAAGTGTAAGCCAGGCGAACAGACCTTGTATGTTGAAATTCGTGAAGTCACATGAAATAAATCATATAAACAGCACGTTGATCGCACGTTGCCAGCACGACGTTATGTTCATTGGCAGCATTGATTTAATTTTGTTTGTTCAAATTTAAATGGTATTCTAATAATAAACTTTATTTTGGAGTAAATCGATGTATCTTTGAGTATTCATTATATTATGAAATTCCGAAATATACAAACAATAATACCGATATAATGAATAATAACGATTCCAAAATAGATTAGAAAAACGCATGAATTAAATATTTAATTTAAATATTTAATTAATTTAAGTTGAATTAATTTATAATAAATCATTTATTAGGACCGCAAAATATAATGAATTGCACACAATAAGTAAGAAGCAATGCCTATATCAGTTAAAGCTAGATCTTGAGTTCTAAATAATTTCAAGATTATATAATTTTCACACTATTTATTTTAGAAAAAAAATCAAGTTAGAAAAAATGTAAAAACATTACTTATATATATAATCATATTTTTGACATTTTTCCAAACTTGTTTTCTTTCTAAAATGAACAATGCGAAAATTATTCCTTTAATTATTTTTTATGTTTTTACATTACTATTGTTATTTCTATTATACTAAAAAGTAATTTTATAAAAGAAATAGAGATGAATATGTATGGACATATTTTATTTATGATTATACGTGTTTATGTATATTTATGTTCATACATTTTTATAGATATTAATACATGAAATATTATTTATCGTTATACAATATTATTTATGTACGTTCATACATGTTATTTAACGTACATAAAAAAAAAATTACACACATTAAAGAAAAGACATTTTGAAAAGACTTATAAGATAATCGTTGAAACATTCATCGTCACTGCGATAACATTTAAGTAATTAAAGTTTCGAAATGTTTTGTTGAAAATGTTATCGTTATCGAGACCCCCGACAGGCTATGTATAAAATCGAAGTAAATCAAATATATGTGTTTCAGTCGCAAAAAAAATATTATGAGAATAATTATAATTAGCGCATAACGATTATTTTGATAATTACATGATAAAAAACATTTTGTATTTATATTAAAACGAATCCTTGTTAAAATTTTTGTATTGAATTTTTAACATATCCGAGTATTAATTTAACATAACGTGATTGTGTTATTTGAATATTTTGTGTTAAATTAAAATTTAACATTTCTCAGTGTTAAAATAACACAATTTATTAAGTAGTTTAAGGCCGAGGTAATATTTTTCGCAATAAATTTATTAACAGTTTTAACATATTAACATCTTTATAATATGATGATAGCATCAAATTATTAATTATTGCTTGTCAATTTAATTCGCGACTATTAGAGTAACTTTAATTGCGTTTATAGTACATATATAGTGTATATTAGTAATTCAAGATTGAATTATTTTAAAGCAATGAAGATCCAGCTTTGATCGTAATAGGCATTTTTCTAGTATTCATTGTGTTTCTCACATATGCGATCTAAAATAAAGATTCTTAATATTGTTTATAAATAATTAAACAAATAACATAAAAATATAGTTTTAAAACATAAATATTGTTTATAAATAATTAAATAAATAACATAAAAATAATATAGTTTTAAAATATAAATTCTAAGAATAAATGAATAAAATGTGTGTTAATTTAATATATTATAATTATTATAAACAATATCTTTGAAACTTCCACGGGTGCTTTTTATATGAAGATTATTTCGGTTTCCTCCGTATCAGATCCATTCTTGGAATGTCAACTTGTGAATATCGTGAACTTTTCACTTCATCAGAGCAGCCTGATATTCAGTATTCCAAGAATGGAACATACATGTTATAAATATCATGGAAGTAAAAATGTAAAATTAGAGTTTCAGTTAAATTTAATAATAACATTATAAATGTGTCGATTTAACTTAAAATTTACTTTTAAATTGTATCAGTGTTACGCTTCTTGTATTAATTTTATAATATTTGTGTTATTTTCCAACATATTCATCTTATGTTATTAACAAATAATAAATTAACACAAAAATTTGGGTGGACCATTTGGAATATGTTAAATTTAACACAAAATTTTTTATCATGTAGTCTATTTAAACAGAAAAAAATATCCGATAATAAGAATTTGATACAAACATTCATTGAGATGATATTTCAAGCCAATTTAATCAACTTCAATTAATTTCAATTTAAGATAACAGTATATGGACACGTTATAAGTAAACAAAGAGAGGAAAGAATGGATGGAACAAATATCTCAAGTAGATAAGTAGCTTTAGGTCTTAACATTCATTCAATGAACGTTAACACAAGAAGCGTAACACTGGTACAATTTAAAAGCAAATTTTAAGTTAAATTGACACATTTATAATATTATTATTAAATTTAACTGAAACGCTAAATTTCTTCATTGTGCAACAATCTGTTTTAATCATATGAAAAGAATGGCTGCGTTCAACGGACTCAACAGTTGAACTCGCTGTTATTGGTGTATTCTTTTAGATCATCCATTAACATTTTAGATCTGGAAGAATACATCAGTAGTAGCAACCGCTCACTGTTGAGTCTCACTTAACTGTTCAGCTCCGCTGAAAGCAACCAATCACTCGCGATCGGCTTCGCTTGACCGACAAGGAGGCGACAAAGGAAATCGGTCTGACGCACAACAAATTATCTCGCTCAGTATTAACTCGGCCTGCGAACTGTGAACAGCACATTCATCAATCCTTCGTATCTTCAAGGACTCTTTCGAGGAACACGCTATAGACGAATTCATATAGACGAACAATGAATGCATCAGTTTTAAGATCAGCCTTCCGTGTACGTGAGCCCTTTCTTTTTGTCCCATTAAATTTAGTGAGGTAAATTTAGTTTCTAAATTTAGTTTCTAAATCGTTTTTTTTTTTTCCAAAACGATCAAATTTAAGATTTCAATCCACAACATGCGATTGCTTATTTATATTCCATTATACGCTATTTTATATAACTTATCCATTCGTGATTAACGGTTTAGCTCGAATTCACTTGTATTTCTTTTTTTACAAAACATCTTGTGACATTCATCTTAATTTCATTCATTCATGTAATATTAATTATAATATTCTTGATTTTACGTATATATAAAATTTTTGTGTAGAGTTATGAGAGAAACAAAGATGCGCACATATTTCGTGGCTTATTTATACCTACAGTGGTAAAATTATTTTTTCTATTGGTTTGTATTTAAATTATCAATACGTTTTATATTTCATTTTATCAAATCGATCTCACTAAACAAAATTATGTCACAATGTTACGATTGATGAAATCATGTGATTAAAACATGTAAGTCACGTAACGGATTGTTCCAAATCAGCACGTGATTTTTTAAAATCACGTAATTTGAAAAATCATATAATATTAAAAATAATTTCATTCATCATGTGATTATATAGTTATCGAATTTTAAAGAATTGAATGATAGAAATAGAAGAAAAAAAACAGGTGATTTTTCAAATTATATAATTTTCGAAAATTACGTACTGATTTGGAACAATTCGTTACGTGATTTATATGTTTTAATTACGTTTCATCATGCAACTGTGTCGTGATTTTTTTCAGTAGGAGAGTATTCGATTGCATTTGCCAGCACATTGACGAGTCAAAGATAAAAACAGCAATTAGAAGAAAATGTATTCAACTTATTTCGAAAATGTTTTATTTTTCCTTACTACGTCGTATATTGCATGTATATTTTTATTATGTTTTGTATAATATAATATATGGAATAATCAACCGCTTATTCTCTTGATGAATATGTTCAGTTTATAATTGAACACGTTATGTAAGGCAAAAGAGCCACGCTTGTTGTTCGTGCTTGTTGTTCATATAATGTTTATATGTTTATAGTAGACAAACAATTATGCAAACATACAGATGTTTCGACTTTTTTATATCAGGTCCTCTTCAATATAATAAAATTAACGCTACCATTTTTTTACATTTTAAAATCTTCGTAAGATCGAGATCATATTGAGATTCCTACACTTCGAACATCTTCAATTGTTATAAATGAATTTATCAATAATCCCGTGGCGAACGTTAAGACCATGGCACACAAAAAACATGACAGTAAAACGTAAAATTTGTTCGCATCGCATACTCCAACATGTTCCTACTTCCTCCAACTTTCTCCTACTCACTCAAACGCACTCGTGTTAGAGTGAGTAGAAACTATGGTAGGAACATCTTGAAGCATGTTAGATATGCGACACGAACAAACCTATAAGGAAATCAGTAAGGAAATCATAGGCCTGTTCTTTTTGACCTAAACTTTTGCCCCAACCCAATTTATCTTTCTTTCTTTTCTTTTCTCCTATAGAGAAAAGGAAAAAAGATGAACTGATGCAAAAAGAACAGGTCTATGTTGATTTCCTGATAATATTTGGTAGATTGAACACATTAATTTTCTGTATTATTAACATTTGTCTTTAGCACAGACAGAACAAAAAAATCTATTCCTTAATATGTGATTATAACAAATGTATTTTTCCTACGCATAATTAAACAAAGCAATATTTAGAAAACGTACATGTTTTGCAGGTACCGCAAACGCTGACGCGAACGCGAAAAGTACATTTATGTGCATCAAGATTCAATTATCATCCAGGGCCTTTGACGCTATTTACGGATGATGAACTTATGATGAAAGAAACCGGTAAGTGTTTCAACCTCTTTTCTTATCAGAAGATGATAATGATAAATGATAAAGATCGCAGTCGATCTGTAAAATCTGTTTACTATCTTACTATACATCTTCATATTTCAATTCGTATATTTATAGTTGCTAAATTAGCTAAGGAGGAGATCGCTCCTGCCGTCCGAAAAATGGAAAAGCAAAACAAGATAGATGACGGCGTTTTAAAAGTATTATTCGAGAATGGCGTAAGTGTGATGAAACAATTAATTAAAGTTTACATTTTCATAACAAAGAGTATACAAGATATCCTTCAGTAAATAAGAATGAATTAAAATAGATTGGAATTTTTTTCTATCCGAATGCGTATTTTAAAAATAGCGAATACTTTTTTTTGGATTTAATTGGATTCAATTGGATTCAATTAGATTCAATTAGATGCAATTAGATTGAAAAACTGCACTTCCCATTCAAAATTTTGTATCAAACAGTATTCACAATGTGCACAGAAAAAGTTAATTTAAATTGAAAGACATAGAGATATACTCTATGCAATTCCTATAAATGAATAAAAATGCATTCAGGATTGAAAAGCATTTATTTTAACATTCGTGAATCAATATTTTTGAAAATTTGAATCCATTTCAATTCATTTCAATTCATTTTTGTTTGCTGGGCCTACACCTTATCATCTGTGCTAGTATATGTTATGACTAAAAAGCTCATAAGCTTTTCTGCTTTCCGATAACCTTTGCCAATTGGTACAGATGATAAAGATACAGCAAACATGTGTTGAAATAGGAAACTTGACGCTGCTTGTTGGAAAGCAGAAAATATGTTTCTTTATGCTTCACGATATACGATTATATAATATACAGTATAAGAGTACGAGCACATAGGAGCATATTTTCTGCTTTTATATATATATATTTATGTATGTGTATGTATGTATATATATATATATATATATATATATATATATGTATACGATAAAAAAAAATTCTAATTAAATTTAAAAATCAGATAGAGAAGAATGCATCTTCAGTATGTATTTAAATAAATAGTATCAAATAGAGGAGAACACGGTAGACATGGGGCTATAAAGAGTTCAAATGGACATTTAAGTGAACGTGTTAAAGTTATTGAAAGTCGTAATTTATATCTATGTATGTACAGCCGGTCTTGCCACTTGTGCATTTGTCTAGCGTAGAAAACACTCAATGCGAAACTCGTTTGACAAGTTTTTTACTAATAAAAAAATCGATATTCTAACTGTTGTTTGCGAATAAGAAAAAGACATAAAAAAAATTAATACTTTTAAAGTTAATACTTTTCCGACAATATTCCTGAATTTCTTATTAATATCTATATATATGGTGAAAACTTTTCTCAGAATTTTTCATATAATTTTTCAGAATTTTCATATAACTTTTCAGAATTTCTATATAATTTTATAACTTTCTCATATTTTTTATACGAATTGGAACACTTCTCAGAAAAGCTACATTTTTTCTTAGAATTTTCCATATATGGTAATTGAAATATTGTAAGATTTCTAAGATTTTTTATAAGTATAATTTCTGATGAAATGTTATAAAATCTAAAACATTTAAAACTATTTCTTTTTAATTGATGATTAATGAAATGAGAAATCACAATATTTCAGAATTTACTTGTATAAAAGATTCTGAGAAATGTAAACTTTTCGAATATTTCAGAATATTTTTGAAAAATGTTCCAATTTGTACAAAAAATATAAGAAAAATTTTCATCAGGGATGATTTGAAAAGAAACTGTCAATTTATCACAAGTGCGTGTACATTCACTCATATTAGCCTCAATCTTACAGATAATATTTTGTTTTCATTGGCATAATGTGAATTATCTAATAAAAAATCTAAGATATTTTCTCTATATGCATCAATCGATTTTAATAAAAAATTTTTATCTAGAAAGCTCTCTCTAATTAATCGATAAGTAAAATACATTTACATTAATTCTAAATTAATTCTGAAAATTATGTCCGACCGAGAATATTGCATAAATGTGATAATGTCGACAAGAAATGCAAAAACATGTTTGTTATTAATCGCGTCAAAGTGACGTACACATAATAAATAAGAAAAGTCGGAAAAGAAGATAAGTTCCTTCATTATAAGTTATTCGAAGATAAGATATTCTTTGTTGTATATTGAATGAAGATATCTTTTAACATTTACATATACATACATTAAGAATACTTTTTGTTTTACGTACATAAAGATAATCTTTATATTCCTATAGTGGCGAAATGTATCTTAACAATACCTTTGTTTTGTAGATTATAAGGCCGACTTTTTCTTCTAAAACGTAAAAATGCAAATATGTATACAATATATGAGAAACAAAGAATCAGATTTTTGTTTTATGCGATTTTTGTTTTACGCGATACTTGAACAAAATCAACCTTGAAAAATTTCTTATTACGTTTCTGTTAGAAGAAAAACATTAATTCTATAGACAATAATAAAAAAATCGCACTAGATTATTAAATAAAGATAGCGTTAAATACGAAGGCTAAATGCCTTTCGATGCCTAATAATAATTTTTATGTAAATTTTAAATATATTTTTAATTTTTATATAATCTTTACGTCGATTACTCTTGTATTTAAACACAATCACAAACTAAAGTTGGAATATAAAGATCACAAATTAAATTGTCAATTTAAAAATGACATCTTAAAAACTTGCGAAGAACTTGCAAAAAATATCATCCGGACCGGATAATGTGATTAGTGATGGGTGTCAAGATGCTTTGAATTAGTTCGAATATATCATGAAAAATACGAATTAATTTGAATACGATTTGAAATTATAAAATCTTTTGAAGGTTTTGAATGTTTTGAAAAGTTTTGAATGTTTTAATAAATTTTAAAGAGAATAAAATTAGAGAGCAATTTTAGTTTAATTTTAGAGAATAAAAAATATTAAATAAATACGTCAAAGAAATGACGTTCAAATCAAAGAAATTTTTCTTTAACCGTATAGAAAGAGCAAGTTAAAATTTCTTCAATTCAAAATTTTTTAATAAAAAAAATCGAGAATTATCAGACTCGTCAAGACTTTCAAAATCTATCAAGACTTATGAATTTACATCTTCGAATAATATTCAAAATGTTTCGAAGCAGAGCAATGACTAAATTGATTGCAAATTCGCAAGAGATATGATTGAATACCCATCACTACATGTGATATTTTGTTCAGTAAATTCTTTGTAGATTTTTAAGACACTTATCAGTATCCTTATTAAATTAATCAATTTAATTTATGATTTTAATATTTCAGTTTCAATTTGATTACGTTTCAAATCCGACAGTAATCGGTGTGCAATTTATAAAGATGAAATGTATAATATTTAAAATTTACATAAAAATAAAGACATCTTGTAGATCCAGTTTCGACCGTATTTATCGTTTTACTTATTTAATTCTATAGAATTTTATAAAATATCATGCAATAAAAGTATAATACAATCACAAACTGATATTATTATTATATGAAGTATAATACCAGCCTTGCAATACAGTACCCACTTGTTGTTCAACTGTTATTCTTTGTAAAACAAAATCTCGTGTGTGACTAACATTTGCATCATAACGTGGTAGAACGGACAATAGAAGAAAACATATTGCGTTGGTAAAGGCGGTCTCATAATATTTTAATAAATGTAATTTTCTCTTTAAATTGGATATATAAATTGATATAATAAAGAAATATTATATTAAAGAAGTATTATATTTTAACATTTTAAACTTGACTTTTAAAATTTCAGTTGATGGGTCTAGAAATTCCAACAGATTACGGAGGTGCAGGTTGCAATTTTATGAGCACAATTTTAACCGTCGAAGAAGTCGCGAAAGTCGACGGAGCCGTAGCTGCTCTCGTAGACATTCATAACACTTTGGTTAACTCGCTTATTATCAAAGTTGCATCTAAGGAACATAAAGAAAAATATCTGCCTAAATTAGCACAAAAATATGTACGTTTATCACGCTTTTGTTACTGATGAGTAAATGGAAAAACAGAACAAGACATATACGATTGTGATATTTTTTTTAGGCTGGTAGCTTTTGCCTGACGGAACCTAATTCCGGATCGGATGCGTTTGCTCTTAAAACCGTAGCGAAAAAAGATGGCAGCGATTATGTAATAAATGGAACAAAGATGTGGATTTCAAATTCCGACATCGCGGGGGTATTCTTGGTTTTCGCTAATGCAAACCCATCCGCGGTGAGCAAAGTTTTATGTATTATGTAAAGGAGAAACACGGAATCATTAATGTAACCACGTAAAGCTTTTTTAATTAAATAGGGATACCGCGGCATCACAACTTTCTTCGTGGATCGCGATACACCCGGTTTGACTGTAGGTAAACCTGAAGACAAGCTAGGCATCAAGGCATCTGGAACTTGTATGGTTCATTTTGATAATGTCAGAGTATGTATTATTAAAAAAATCGTGCACGCATGTTATTGGATTTGTTTCTGAACTAATGTTTGTATTGAAAGTAAAATGGATATAAGAGAAATCGGGGCACTATCGATTATTTATTAGTTAAATATAATCTAGAATTTTTATTGAATTCGATAAAGAATTTCAACACGATTTAAAGTTTAATTTAGAAAGGATTATTAACATTTCAGATTGATTGTGTTGAAAGTCCGAAAAATCTTCCACGCGCAGTCATATCTGAATATGTTATTTATTTAAAGAATATGTTTTTTTTTTTAATATAAAGAATATGTTATTCGAAACATTTAATTTTAAATCGTGTTTGCGTTCTCTATCGTATTTGTTGTATTCATATCACGGTCGTTTCTTAAGTCTTAAGTTTTAAATTGATACTACTGGTACTATATGACTGTTACTTCTTATCTAAATGCATTAAATTTTATTGTATAATTGGAGTATCATGGATCACACATTAAATATTCGTGATGAAACGGGACAATACAGAAAATATATGTATTAAAGAGGTAATTTATATTTCTAAGCAATTAATTTTATTTTAGCATAATAAATTTTGTATCTCGTATTAATGAATTATTTCTTATTTGTTTTCTTCTAATTTTCTATTGTATTATTTAATAATTATTAGTTGTAATTAAATATATTTATATATTTTATTGATATATAGTGACTATGCTAAGAATGTGTAAGTTAATTGATGAAAATACTCTTTAACTTTCGTCACCGTTATTTTTTGAATAATCCTACTATTTTGTGTGTGTGATTTATGGTATCCCGGGTATAGGGTATTTGAGTAATTTCTAAAAAAATTTATTTTTATTTTTTTCTTTAAGACTAATAAATATTTACTAAATATACTTGTCAAATTTTAAAGTATGCATTATATTTTAATAATTAAAAAAAAAATGATACACAAATTTTTATATTTAGGTGTACTTTTAAAAGTTTGAATTTTTGTGACTTATGGTGCCCCGGTCTCCCCTATATTTAAAGTTTAACGAAAGCGAAACAGAAAGTTTTAGTGTAGCTCAGTATATAAAGAACAAGTTGCGACAAAGAACAGACTTTTTCTTGCAACGTGTAAATACATCTATTATTATAACTTGTATTTTTTTCAGGTACCTGAAAGCAATATTTTAGGCGAGTTTGGACAGGGATACAAGTATGCAGCCGGTTTTCTGAATGAAGGTAGAGTAGGCATTGGCGCTCAAATGATTGGAATCGCACAAGGAAGTTTAGATGCAACCATACCATATACGCTGGAAAGGAAGCAATTTGGAAAGGACGTTTTCTCATTCCAAGTATGCTCATTATTCAACGAACGGAATGTCCGTGTATATCTAAGATCTAAAAAATAATCTATTTTTAGGCGATGCAACATCAAATAGCTCAAGCAGTAACTGATTTAGAATGCGCAAGATTATTGGTTTACAACGCAGCTAGATTGGTAGATGCTAAAAAAGATGTTATGAAAGAAGCGGCTATGGCCAAATTAATTGCATCTGGTATATAATTTGCTAATGTTTAATTTACTTTAAACTCAAGGCTATATATAGTGAAAGCTAATATATGTATATCATATTTATAGAAACTGCGTCACGTGTCACCACAAAGTGCATAGATTTTATGGGAGGTGTTGGATTTACAACCGATTTTCCTCAGGAGAAATATTATAGGGATGCCAAGATCGGCACGATTTATGAAGGTACAAGCAATATGCAGTTGTCAACGATTGCAAAATGTATACGCAAGGAATATTCGTAAATTAGTAATCTTTAACATGACACTGTGTTTACAATATAAGATAAGATTATTTTTTACACATTATTTTTAATACTAAAAATTAGGGAAAATAGCATATGTACTAGAGAGAATCAAGGGAGATTGAAGCTATGGTAGAAGGTATGGAATATACGGTGTTGCACATACTATTATTGTACCGCGCTAGTATTACGTATATGTATATAGACATACAGGATGTCACAAAATCCGACAAATTTCAATTTAAATTTTTGTATATGCATATTTGCGGAAGTGCATAATAAATGGCGGAATCAATCAGAGAAGAGAACACTCTTCGCTTCATTCTCCCTTGATCCTCTTTGGTACTATTTTTCCTAATTTAAAAATATATTTTTATACTTTTATATTCTAATATTCGACTAATATCAAATATATATAAGTGATACCTAATTTAGATATAAGTTTTATAAATCAAATAATGCCTCAATTCGACACAAGATGATAATGTGCAAATTGATTTATTTAAATCAACATAATTATAATCGCAGATGTTTCGATTATTGTCGATGCTCCATGTAAATTTAGATGAGACTCGACGTCCGACGCGTATGAATAGCTTAATAACGTTTCGATTATTATTATACAGGAAGTACAATGATATCACTGTTACATTACTATTCTCTAGATGACTGAATTCTGTTAACAATTTATGGAGCATTGATAAGCATCGAAGGCATTATTTAATTGTATGTTTTATGAATTAATAACAAGTACCGAAATTCAACGAAATAAATTTATTACAATATTTAGAAATAAACAATAGAGATGTACATAATATTTTTTATACTATTAACTTTCCAGCGGACGCGCACGTGTTCTCCGTACACGCGCGCCGGTTTTATGAAAGAGATAAAATCTATTTTCTGGGTCTTGGCTTCCCAAGATATTCTTTCAGTATCTTTCGGATCATCGATTCGCTTAGGTTGCGTTCTGTTAGCATATCTTGTTTAGAATCAATTTTTAAAATATCAGGGCATTTTTTCAGAAAAATCTTTCTGTGGAGGAATCGCTCAGTGCCGGTGAAAAGCGAGGGAGGTGCAAGTTGTGCAAAAATACTATCCTCAAATGCAACAAATGTTTTCATTTTACTTACAAAAAACATTCGACGACAATTATTATTTGCAATAATTATACTACGACTGAAAGCACATAAAACTTTTTTCTATACATTTTTAATACATTTTTCTAATAAAAGATAACTTATTTTTTTAAATAAATGATTATTTAGATATCATAAATTTTTATCACATAATACTTATTTGACGATATTATGCTTTAATCTCTCGAATTGTCAGTCTTATTCTATGATGTTCTCTGTATATGGCGCGCCTGCTGGAAAGTTTATGATATAAATAATAAAGATGTGAATATATAAAATAAAATTACACGATTTTATCTTTAATGAAATTTACTATTTAAATTATCTTTATAGAAGTACAATATAGATAGGTATAGTACAAAGTACAAATATTCCTATCACTAATAACAGTTTAAACATTTCTATTTTGAACACTTCATTTTGGATCATGAGGTAATTTAAAACCTACGAGATCCGCAGTTTCCTTTATGCTACGTTCACCTTTACCAGCGTATTGTTTATGAATATCCTTACATGCTTGCTGAGACTTCAAGTAGCAAAGATACATTTCTGCTAAATTCTTTAATTCTTCTCGCGCTTTACATAAAACTTCAGAGGTTTCTTTATGGGCATGTGCTTGTTCCATGACATAATGTAACATTGCGTTCTCTTTCGTATTTTTAGTCTGTGAAACTCGACGCAGCTCTTGCACCAGAGAACGGACAATTTTAATATTATTATTCATTGTCGTTGTATTCTAAAAGCAAATGGAATAATTAGTCATTCGAGTATTGAGAAACAAGAATTATATTTTGTTACAAATAACTCTGTAAGAGCTAAAGAAGATAATTACAGTGTATCAAACGTCATTTGTCACTGCACAGCTGTAACGAATTCAACGTCTTTCGTTAAATACTGTGGTTCTTCTTTAGTGTTCCAGAAATCTGCTGGGACCTTAACCAGATTTTGTCTTGTAAAGATATGAATATTAAGGTCGTTGAAAACTTCCTCGTACACGAAGGAATTTTCCAATCGAATCTCTGTAACATAAGGTCGAATGCGTAATATGTAGCCCGCTGTATTCAATACGTCCTTATGCAAGAAATTATCGACGGTGTCTGAGAGACTGTTGGCCAACAGGATGCAACTGCTCAGTCCATCATCCCAATTCGCATATAGGAAATTATTGGTCAGCTGCCGCGAGCAGTGCGGCATGTACACGAGGGTGATCCTATCTCGCTGGACGACACGCTTGCCTTCTTCGTTTGTCTCTATGACCTCTAATCCCAAGGTACGCAAAGTTTGTACTTCCTCGGGATGAAACGCCGGGTCGTATACGTGTACGCGGACCGGCTCGTATCGCGCCTTCATACACAGCAGAAGCGCCAATTGGCATCTCGACGATCTATACTGCGAGAACTGTCCTAACCCGTAGCAGACTATCTCAGAAACACTGTTAGAGCCTAAAACGGCTAGGGATTCCGACAGCCGGCTAAAAATGAACTTGGTAAACGATGTGTCTCTGATTTCGACTACCGCCTTGTCTAACGTGCTGAAAGTCGCCGTAAAAGAAATGTGATTGCGATTAGAATCAATCAGGTTAAACGTAGGTCGTGATGTGCATTAGATTAGGTTAGGTGTGAAAATTAAGTGAGGATGGCGAGATGCAACCGTGACATGGCTTACCGAAGAAGAAGCTCGCGATCGATCTCACAGTCCTGTTCTACGATCACGCTCGGCGGCGCGTTTCCACGTAAATTCCTTCTTCCGTGACGACGTTTTCCACGACGAGTCACCAACACGAAGTTGTCCGCTTCTGACATGACTGAATATGGCGCCGTTTGTCACTACTTGCATTTTTCTTCGCTAGAGGCCGCCACCAACCGCGCTTGCCTGCACCTGTCTTTAACGTTTTTTAACAAAATCTTTCTTTTTATTGATTCTAAAAAAAGATTCTAAAAAATCTTCTTCATATAATGAGACGTCCACAATAGTGTGCAATTTAAATATAGTGGGAATGACAGTAACCTACTTATATATGCGTCAGCAATCTGTCCAAATAATTCTTATTTAAAAAATTATGTAAATTGACTCCTATTGTCCTCATTACCAATCATTTCTATTCCGAGGGTCTCGTATTCTCCTACGTACGTTTTCATAATTACGTTTCAAGAGTTTTTTTAAGATTTAATATTTTTTATTTGTAATACTTTACCGCGTGTGAGGTCCATTTCATCAATTTGGCAATTTAACTTTTGATTTTATTTACTCTTACATCTTAATTTTTTAAGGAATAATTTGTAAAAGTAGAATGAAGATAAAAATAAGTTAAATTGACATTAAAGTTACTTTACAGTGGTAGAAATGGACATAATTAAACTATATATATGTACGCTTCTGCATACATGTTGCCTGTCTATTATATTCTGAGTGCAAATAATAAATGGCGAGTTTTGTTACGACGAGTTTTAACGTGAAGTAAAAAACTGCTTTTACTAGCAAATGCATTCCAACTATTTTCGATGCAAAAGTGTGCCGAAGTGTAATAGTACTTGACTAAAACGCTACATAATAATTATGTTGACGCCTAAATGCTGGAACATCGGTTTCTTTTTTCGCTTACGCCCATGGACTGTCTCGTGTCTCGCATGAAACGTACATACAATCTAACGGGATAGCGCAAGGTAGTGGAAATGAGTCATTCGTTACCTGCCACGACCCATCGCGTATAACCGAGCAAATAAGTCGCAATCGTGCCGCGTCGAGGACGACGACTGCTTCAACTGCTAGTCGTCAGCCAATATATAGTAACGTTAAACAAAAAAGTTTCCGCACTTCCTTTTCTCTCTTTCACACCGATACTTCCGCCACAATTCGTCATAATGTGACATCGGAGGCGCTTCCCCGATGCGCTTTAATGCATTTGAACTGAAAAGTGTCCTCGAGAATGATCCTCCGCACGTGCAAAGCCTACTTTTGAAATTTTGCCTTCGTAATAAAATTGACGATCAACTATCCAGTTGAATAAAGCGTCGCTCGAGAGTAAATAAGTGATTAATTTATATTATGATATTTGTTTTCGCAGACGCCAGCTTTGTACTTTCACGGATTCGCGTCTCTCTCGCATTATAATGTGTTGCGCCTGAAACGACGAGTTGTTTATATGAAACGAATAGATAACAAGATTTGGCACAGAATTTGTTTTCGTGCCACGGGAACGGCGTGTCGTGTGACGAAACGATAGAGTATATAACGTATTTAACGTTTAATCTCGAAGAAATGGCGCACGAATAAATGACGAAATTGTTAAATTCCGCCGGTATCCGCGGCATCGATATCCCGTGTATTATAATATACGTTGTATGCCTGCCGCCTATGAAGATTCTAAATCGTCGTACACGAATATGTATAACGACGAAAATGTCGCTTAGCTAACCACGGGACACTTCACAGCAGGTGTGCGAAAGGTGTCACGCCTTTGACTTTCGACTAATAACCGATGTGAATGATGTGATGTTACCGCAATGTCCCTCACCTCGAGAACAAACAGATGGGCCTCGAGAGTAATTATTATATTACAGCTGGTCACCTGGAACGCTGTTGGCATCATTCTTCTTCACAGAGGCGTCAGCACACTGCACGGGAGAATCTTGAATACCAGCAATGTTGTCGAGGTAATGGAGGTAATTTTCTGTTCTCATTATGTAAACAATTATGTTATACATATATACAATAATTGCATTTATAATAATTAGTGATCTCCATTATTAATAATAATTATATTGTATAATTATTATTATCAAGGTCTATTATAGCTATCTTATTAATATATATTTATTTTATGTATACATAAAATAATTGTTTGTAATGATTGTTACTAATCTCCATTATCATACTATATAAAATGATTGTTAATAAAATAATTATAAAATATAATTAAATTATTATCAACCCAGCAAACGGGAACGGATTGAAATGGATTAAAATGAATTCAGATTTTCAGAAATTCGGATTTATGAATATTAAAATTGGTTCCTTTTCAGTCTTGAATGCATTTTATTCATTTATAGACATAGAGTATATTTCTATGCATTTTAATCTAAAAATAATAATGCATTGTGAATATACTTAATTTATAATTCTGAATAGCAAATACAGTTTTTTAATTGAATATAAAAATGATATCAGCCATTTCTGTGCATCGTGAATACTGTTAAATTCAAAATTCCGAATAGGAAATGCAATCTTTTAATCCAATTGAATAAAAAAAGTTTTTTTTTTTAAATGTGCCACGAATACTATTTAATTCTATTTAAAATTGTGAGTAGAAAATCCATTATTTCATTTAAAAATACATCATGAATGCTATTTTATTCAGAATTATGAATAAGAAATTTTTCGTTTTGATTCAACTGAATAATTAAAAAAAAGTTGTAAAAATATATCATGAGAGAGAGAGAGAGAGAGAGAGAGAGAGAATTTTACTTAATTTAATAGTTAAAAGAAACTACTAAATATTAACAATATAATATTATTAAATATTATAAAAAGAACTACTAAATATTAACAATAAATATTACACACACACACACACACACACACACACACACACACACATATAAATTCCTTATTTTTAATTAATTAATTAATCGCTTTTATGTACATGTTATATTAAAATATGTTTCCTTTATTACAGCTAGAGTATAATTTTGTATAAAAGTTTTAAAACAATAATTATAGAATTTCATGTAATTATTACTTTAATTTATTTAAACTTTTACACGTATAAAAATTTTGTTTTATATGGAATCCAATCCATTTTTATGGATTTAAAATACAGATTCGGAAAATTTCCAATCCATTTTCGTTTGCTGGGAAGGATTGTTATAATATTTACGTGTACAAATTATATATACATACATATATGTATAAACATAGTTTTTGTGTTGTATAATCGCAATTATCTCTACTTATATAAAATTACCTACAAGCATATATGTATATATATATATAACGTATTCTTTATCTTTCTATAGATAGATTCCCCGACCGGTTTGGAGTCCGTTATATCGTCTACGAGACACGAATACGATTTATCCACTCAGCAACAACCGATGAACAAAAACGTGGAGATAATTCAGATAGATCCATCTCTGGATGATGATACGAATCTCTCTGAATTAACTGGAATTAGAAACGAACGATTAAAGGATGCATCCCAGATTTTTTCGGAGAAGCAATCATCTTCGCTTTTTCTTGCGGATCCTCTCGCAGTTTCGACGACCGAGAATAAAAATATAATGAACAAGATCTCGAGAGTAGCTCGAGACAGGGAGAATAACGGAATTTTCGGAATTTTCGGCAACGGAATTTCAAATAAGATTCATGCGGAAGAGGACGTCACTTCAATTTCGGATTATTCGGAATACAAGACTACGGGATCGGTTTTGAGGAAGGAGGAGGATCTCGATCTCGTAGAAAACGCGACACGAGCCACAATGCACGAGACGTCGTCCACTCTGGATAAGGAAGTCGATCAGAATCAATTTACCATCAAGACAGGCAAAAGCAATGTAAAATTCTCCCGCGTGAACGAAAACATCGCGACGACGGCCGTCGCTTTAGTGTCTATCGGCGTGATTATGCTGCTGATAGGGCCGATCGTGATCATAATGCGGATTTTGGATGAGAGGAGGCAAGCGAGAAAGCTGATGGCGTTGCCGTCAAGATCGCGAGAAGATCTGCCACCCACGTACGAGCAGGCCGTTCTTATGGACGAAGCGCCAAGGTATTCGACGCTCGCGTTGAACTACGATCGCACGCCGCCGTCTTCGCCGACTTTCTCGTCCACCTACACCTTTTCGAACTCTGCGACGTAGTTGTATCTTAAACGGAATTTGGACGGAGAATTTTTTTTCTCTGTTGCTTTTTTTGTATAATAAAAACCGATTTATTATGAGAGCGTTTTTTAAATTAATAAGCGTCCTTACTAGTTATTAGACAGAACGAGAAAATAGAGAGAGAGAGAGAGAGAGAGAGAGAGAGAGAGAAAGAGTATAATTTTTGCACTTTTTTTCAAATACAATATAAAAAAATTCATAATTTTTTATTTAATTAAAAAAATATATAATAAATTCTTAATAAATTCTTAAATATAATAGAGAGCGTCTAGGATTGGTCGAAGTTAGATGTTTTGAATAATATAATATTCATGAATTTAATTTATCTCAAATATGGCACAGATATTTCAAATATTTAAACACAACCAATTTATCATCGCAATTATTAGCATCTCAGATTGATTGTGTTTAAATGTCTGAACGTTTCGACGCACAGTCATATTTGAGATAAATTAAATTCATGAACCAAAAATATTATATTATTCGAAACATCTAACATATCAATGTTATAGCTTCATCTTTAATAAACACATAATAAATAGTGTTATATAACAAAATAGTTATATAATACTGTTATATATTATTTTTGCATTTATTCCGGTAAAAAATTGTTTACATGAATATGTATAAATATGTATAAACATACATAAATATTCATAAACATACATATATAAATTATATATGTATCTATACAATAAAATCTATAAATATGTCTATACAATCTTCATACATTCTTCTCTCTTTTTTTTGTAAAATTACTTTTTAGTGTAATAGAAATAATAATAACGTGAAAATATTAAAAATAATTAAAAGAATTATTAAAAGAATAATTAAAATAATTTATTATAATAATTAAAAGAAAGATTTATTAATTTTCGCACTATTTGTTTTTGAAAAAAAATCAAGCTTAGTAAAAAAATTGCTCATATAT